AAGAAAACTGAGGTGCAAATCTACATTGCCCAGTGGAATATATTTGAACTTGTAATATTTTCCATTTGTCCTGTTCTCAGCACTTTGTTTTCTTTCCGTATCTTTTTGAAGTACTTCACCACTAATATTTGCATGATGGCTGTGAGTGGAAAGCACACCTATTTGCGTATTCCATTTACAATTCTGTTGATTCCTGAATGGAAAAATCTGTTATTAGCACAGAACATAAACACGGATATGTTTAGTCTAAAACATCATGTTTTCAAAAAGTTATTTTGTAATCTTCAACATTAGCAGTAATAGTTAATCAGTTCTTTCTCTTACCGATCAAATCAGTTTTTAAGTCAGTTTTACCTCATTTTTTGTGATTTTGTGGAAACATGCATTTATGTAGTATACTGAAATTGCTCAATGATAAATTCCAACCCTGTGAGGGCCTGTGTAAGAGTGCATGGTGGTAGGCACAATGAGGGCATTGAGAAGGGAAACATGCACCTCCCTCTTTACTGATGGGTTTTTAATCCTGGGTTACTAGTGATAATGAAGATCATGAAAACTTAAGGGAGGTGTTAAGGTTTATAGCTGTCTCCATTTTGGCAATGTCTCATTAAGTAAAAGAGCAAAAAGGATATTTGATATATGATATTTGGAGCGCTTCTCCTTTAGAGTTTAATCTCATACAGCTTTTACTATCATCCCACTTATTCTGTATGGGTTGCGCTGGGGCTGGGGTCTATCTTCTGCAGTCTACGGGTGAGAGGCAAGCTACACCATGGACACGTCTCCAGTCTGTCTCAGGGTAACACAGAGAAACATGAAGACATACAACCAAACAAACACTCACAACTAAAGAATATTTAGAGATGCAAATTTACCTAACAGTCATCTTTTTGGACTGTGGGAGGAAGCTGGAGTACCAGGAGAGAACCAACAAATGCATAAGGAGAACATGCCGACTCCTTGCAGACAGACCCCAGGCTGGGAATCAAACCCGGAACCTTCCTGCTGCATGCCAACAGTGCTACTCACTATGCTGCCCTAATTAAACAAACTCTATGAACTGAAATGAGCAGAAAGCTATTTGTCTAAATATGCTATAAGCAAATAAAAAAGACAAGACGGGGTGAATGGGAAGCGGTTTAATCAATCACAGCACATACCTTTATAAATCATATGCTGCAGAGTCGACAATATTTGATGCTGTTTGACTGCACCAGGATACCTCCTGCAATTCATCTTTCAAAAGTATAAGGTTAGACATCAAGTTGGTAATGTTTTATTACATTTTCCATTGTTAACATTCCTCCACTGAAAATTTTTTTAAAACAGAAAAAGCTTTACTTGATTCTTTCTGCTTTGAGCTGTAAGGGATAAAACGCACAGAACTTTAGCCTGAAGGAAAGATCACTCACTTTAACTTTAGCTTTCTCTGGTGTGATTCCATCTTTCTTGGCTGTTTTAGATGGTAGAGGTGATGACTTCTAATATGAACTTTAGAGATCTAGAAATGTGGCTACCACCAAAAAAAGCTTAAAAACTAAAACCTGTAAAACAACCACACATTTTACAATTTTTTTTTTAAATCTACATCATCTATACCAATGCCCTTACCTTACAAAAGTACTTACCCTCTTAAACACATCTTGTCACATTACAGGTGCTGGTCATAAAATTAGAATATCATGAAAAAGTTGATTGATTTCAGTAATTCCATTTAAAAAGTGAAACTTGTATATTATATTCATACATTACATACAAACTCAAATATTTCAGATGTTTATTTTGTTTAATTTTGATGATTACAAATGACAACAAATGAAAATCTCAAATTCATCATATCAGAAAATTAGAATATTGTGAAAAGGTTCAAAATTGATGGCCCCTGGTGCCACACTCTAATCAGCTAATTAACTCAAACCACCTGCAAAAGCCTTTAAATGGTCTTTCAGTCTAGTTCTATAGGCTACACAATCATGGGGAAGACTGCTGACTTGACAGTTGTCGAAAAGACGACCATCGACACCTTGCACAAGGAGGGCAAGACACAAAAGGTCATCGCTAAAGAGGCTGGCTGTTCACAGAGCTCAGTGTCCAAGCACATTAATAGAGAGGCGAAGGGAAGGAAAAGATGTGGTCGAAAAAAGTGTACAAGCAAGAGAGATAACCGCACCCTGGAGAGGATTGTGAAACAATACCCATTCAAAAATGTGGGGGAGATTCACAAAGAGTGGACTGCAGCTGGAGTGAGTGCTTCAAGAACCACCACACACAGACGTATGAAAGACATGGGTTTCTGCTGTCGCATTCCTTGTGTCAAGCCACTCTTGAACCACAGACAGCGTCAGAAGCGTCTTGCCTGGGCTAAAGAGAAACAGGACTGGACTGCTGGTGAGTGGTCCAAAGTCATGTTCTCTGATGAAAGTAAATTTTGCATTTCCTTTGGAAATCAAGGTCCCAGAGTCTGGAGGAAAAGAAGAGAGGCACTTCATCCACGTTGCTTGAAGTCCAGTGTAAAGTTTCCACAGTCAGTGATGGTTTGGGATGCCATGTCATCTGCTGGTGTTGGTCCATTGTGTTTTCTGAGGTCCAGGGTCAACGCAGCCACATACCAGGAAGTTTTAGAGCACTTCATGCTTCCTGCAGCTGACCAACTTTTTGGAGATGCAGATTTCATTTTCCAACAGGACTTGGCACCTGCACACAGTGCCAAAGCTACCAGTACCTGGTTGAAGGACCATGGTATCCCTGTTCTTAATTGGCCAGCAAACTCTCCTGACCTTTACCCCATAGAAAATCTATGGGGTATTGTGAAGAAGAAGATGCAATACACCAGACCCAACAATTCAGAAGAGCTAAAAGCCACTATTAGAGCAACCTGGGCTATCATAACACCTGAGCAGTGCCACAGACTGATCGACTCCATGCCACGCCGCATTGCTGCAGTAATACAGGCCAAAGGAGGCCCAACTAAATACTGAGTGCTGTACATGCTCATACTTTTCATGTTCATACTTTTCAGTTGGCCAACATTTCTATAAATCCTTTGTTTTTATTGGTCTTCAGTAATATTCTAATTTTCTGATATGATGAATTTGAGATTTTCATTTGTTGTCATTTGTAATCATCAAAATTAAGCAAAATAAACATCTGAAATATATGAGTTTGTATGTAATGTATGAATATAATATACAAGTTTCACTTTTTAAATGGAATTACTGAAATCAATCTACTTTTTCATGATATTCTAATTTTATGACCAGCACCTGTACAACATTGTTGTGGTAAATATATTTTATCTGATAATTGTGTATAATAATGTGCTTTTTTTTTTTACAGGTAACATAAATCAAACTTACTCATTCCTACATTAGCTGTGCTCTAACATGTTTAAAGTTTTTGAATGTTATTAACTTCTTTATTAGAGTCCTGTCTACCGCGTTCCTTCATCTCCCTAATGCTGTTAGGTCACTAATGTTCTATAAAAACCGGAACATTACAAGCTTTCACATAACAGCTGGATTTATTATCAGATTAACTTAAACACGGTTGGACTCTTTTTACCAATTGGGAAATTCGGAAGGCATGGCACTGAATTTTATTTGGAGGTATTCAAGTAAAAAGGACAAAAATGAATTTTTCTTTAGAACCATTTTAGAAAAAAAATATTTCTTTGCACTTTATATCTGCATTGTATTCAATGCAGATATAAAGTGAAACTCTTTCTGGGTTACTAAAATTAAAATTTCATTAAAAAGTTTTAGATTAAATGTTGGTGCAATGAATATTATAGGGACCCCAAAAGTTTGCAAACAGCAACAAATTCAATACTGAATTTGTTGCTGTTTGTTGCTGTGTGTTTAAGTAAGATCTGATCTTTAAGGCAAAACAATAAATGTTTGCTTGCAGGCATTAAAAAGATAGCACAAAGTAAAACTAAGAACATTTGACAGAGAATTTGTCAAGAAACTGGAAGGTCAGCCTCTCCAGTAAAGGAGAGGGATTTGTAAACTTACTTAACTGATTTTAAATTTAACAAATTTAAAATTTTACTTAATCAAGTGTTATATGTTAGAATAAGCACAGATATCTACCATATGTGGAAGACTGTGTTCCCTTTTTGTGGTGTATCGTGTTAAGCAATACCACAAGCAGACCATTATGTGCAATCATCACCTCAGCCTTGACAGCCAATCTTTCAATTTCTGCATTTTTCTAAAAATGTGTTATCTTCTACAAACAAGCTTCAGGACTAAAATAAAGAAAGGGAAAACAGTTTAAACCAATTTGAAAGAGGAGACTGACAATTCGTCTTTGATTTCAAGCATTTCAAATAATTTAATATATTTAAATCCACTTGCTAAAAGAGCACTTCAACACTACAAACAAACTTTGCATTCAAATTGTGACAGTAAGCAATAAATAATACATGGTTCCAATTTAAGTTAATTCTACTATTAAAATTCCTAAAAAAGCATACATTCACTCTGTGTGCTTTGACAATCGGTAGTGAAGCCTATTAAGATAATTTGAAATAAGTTTTACCACATTTTCATGCAGTGTAACATGTCCTAATTGTATCGGTTCAATCACAATGTAAAACTTATTCCAATTTAGTGCCATAAGATTTCAGTGGGAGTTTTAGCAAGCAATCTACCAAATGACGAATTAAATCTGACGTCAGCAGCATGAAATGGGAAGTTCTTCTATATATATTTTATAGAAAGCACTTCCAAGATATTTAATAAAAGAAAACTCCTTTGTCTAAAAAATATGCTTGCTCTTTGAGAAGGATTTTGATTAAAGAAATAACAATTCAAAAAAAAAGTTTTCAGTAAAAACTGACAGCTCATTATTTAATCCTCAGTCTGGGATGAACTTTCTGTCCTTTTAGTTACAGTGACTTGATTGCTTCTTTTTAGCAACAGCTTATTCTAAGTAAATGGTCTATAAGCGCCACCCTAAGATTCTACCCCATCAGTTTCACTTTCTGTCTCCTTTTCTTTCTTTCTCTCTCTCAAACACATTAGTGAGAGAGTGGGAGTTAATAAGGTGTGACTGTTGTATCTTCTACCTGTACCTCTCCAAAGAAGGTCAGAGGGCAGCTATTGCCCTGACAATGACCTTCTTACGCAGCTCTACTGTCACAGCAGCAGTCCATCACCTTGTTCATTGTTTCATAGTTAGAAACGCTCAGTTGTCTTGCGCGATCTTTCTCCTGTGACAAATCTACGGGGTCATTATTGTGAAATTTGCTTCAAAAAGTCCTCAGGTTCCTGGTGCTAAATGCAGGGATTCTCTCCTTTCTTAGAACAAACAGGAGGGGCATCCCTGAGGTGCGCGGGGCTGTTTGTGTCCTGGTGCCACACTTGATGACCCTCCTTCCTTTGGTTCTCAGTTCCTCTTCCTGAAGGAGCCTCAAACATTCCAGTTATGGGATTTTTTCTCCTTTCTCCCTTCTCCTGACTGCACTTTCATCCCTTCGTGTCGTCAGCAGCGAGGCTTTCCAGGAGTGTTCTATAAACGTCCGAGCGGAGGAATCGCGGGTACGAGTCTCTTTCCATCAGCCCGTAAACTATCTTCTGAGCTTCGTCAAAGCAGAGCACGGTGGGAGTCTTGATGTTCCTTTTGATCTGCTCTCGAGTGTGATAGTCAATGTTGATCTGAAATGAGGCATATGGATAGGTATGAGGGGGATTTGAGCCAAGAGTGGGAGACGTGAGATTTAACATTTGAGCTGCAGTTTTTTTCATGAACACACAGAGCTTGAAAGGTGGAACAGAAACTGCGTGTCTGTGGATCTATGTGTACGAATGCAAAGATTTTGTCCAGTCTGATTTACCTCTTTAGGGGACTCTGCTTTGATGAACTGCTCATAAATCTTCTTAGCTCTTGAGGACATTCGAAATGAAGACTTAATCTTTTTGTAGTCCTCACATGTAAGCCAAAATTCAATGTTCTCATCACTATATTCTGATTTAAGGAAGTTACGAAAGGTTGCCAGTCCATCTGAGGTAGGAAAAAACACCAGGCATAAGACAAATAACATTCCTTTTAAGCTTTTCTTTAAATTACTTATTCCTTTCTTAAAGCTAATGTTCTGTTTTAACAACATTTCAGTTTTTAAGAGAGAAATAACTTACATTTGGATTCAAGAAGCCTTTCCAGGGACTGTGACCATTGTTGAGTATCTTCTAAACTTAGCCTGCTAGGATAGAATACAAGTTGGATTACTGAACCTGGATCAAATCTGAGTGAAATAGATTTACAAGGACACCAAGGATGCAGAGGCCTTTTTATCCAGGAAGGCCCTTGCAGATGTGCTTATCAAGTTCACTAAAAAAATGTTGAACCCTGGGATTAGCTGGCACTAGCATGTACCGTGCCAAAGCAAACATGGTGTCTCTAGATCATTTGAATCCTTACCAGATGCCATAGATGGAAATGATTGGAGCAGCCTGGCTATTTTAAAACTGAAATGTATGCAAAACAGTACATAGAATTCCTTACCTCTCTGAGCATTGAGGCGAATGCGAGAACATGCACTGGAGTCTGCACATAAGGTTCTTTCCGCTGTGTAAATAAGAAAAACATGAATTCATTTTGATTGATTTACTGTTCTTAAATTAGTCTCTACTGAGTATGTGAAAGTACACTGAGCATTCTAGTAATTAGAAAAGGACAAACTTAATGTTCAAAATGTATCTACAGTGTTCATTTTTTTATTTTTAAATGATCGAGCACATTCTTTTAACTTTGAAAACTTTTTATAAAAGCAAAAACAAATCAAAAATATTTCTGATAAATCCTGTAGTTAAAAAAAAACCCATTAGTGATACTAAGAAAGAAGTCAGCACATCCTCGGCACAATAGAGTTTAAAGTGTAAGTACTCACATGGTATTGTTTCTGTTCCTGTCATCTCGATCCATGATGAACTGATGTGTGCTGTGTGGTGTGGCTTTTATGCTGGGCATTGTTTTGTTAGGTCCACACTCTAAGGCTCTTGGTCCTGGTCATGCTGTGTCTGAGAGGCACTTAGGAGGGTTCCCTCTGCGATGCAGCTTTTTATACGAAGGTCTCCTGTCGCTACAGACTAGGGCTGCTGGGATACCTCAGCAGCTTTACTGAGACTAAAGAGGAAGCACCCCTTCCTCCTCCTCCCGCCTGTTGCACTTCTCCTCCTACTTCACAGTTAGAAACAACTTACACAGTGCATGAATGCCTCCCTCCTCAGATGCCTTACTCCCTGTTGTATCTTGCAGTTTCTTTCCTTTCCCTTTTGGCTTCTCATTTTCCGTCTCTTGCCTTTGCTGGACTGACCAAACAAGCTGCCAGACAAGAGTCTCAGGCTTGAAAGCAAACAGTGTTTGAATTATTTTTGGTCTGACAGCGCAGATGCAAATGACATCAAGAGAGACTGATAGGCAAATCTTTAAAAACCTCTCGTGCAGTATGTTCTATGTATGTTTACTCCTGAGGTGAGAGTAAATTCTCATCTCATGAGAATTCGTTTGGAATGACTGCTCTTCAAGGCAGGAGAAAAACTATATCAGAAAACAATGAAATAATTTTTGAGAAGAATAATGCCATCTGGGGCCGCAGCCTTTTGTCAGAAAGAGGAAACACCAGACTGATTGCAACAGAGACTGAGCAAAGAGACAGGAAGTAAGAGAGACTGCTTCGACGTCACATTACGACCAGACTCCTTTGGAAACCACCGGCTTAGTGCCTAAAATGCTTAGCTTGGGCAAACTGATATCTTTCAAACTGTAGTAAATAAAGATCTTAAGTAGTTGTGGAATGCACCAAAAAAATAAGAGACAATTGTTTATCTTACAACAATAGAGAATAAAAAAAAACATTCCATCCATCATTTCATTGTCTTGGTGATAAGAGGGTTATACCCTTGAGTAACAGGGTTAAAAACACATTCATACCAATATACACCAATATTTAACCTTATTTTCAGAAATTTTTCAACCAAATCAAACACAGTTTTACCTCAGATCACTGCATTAGAATGCTCAATAACCATGATAATACACTGGTGTATTGCCAAAGCAGGCAGACTCATCTGTATTTGAAGGAGCGCAGCTCTTTTACAATTCATCCTATTAGCTGTTCAACAAACTGGGAAGTGATAGGTGAAGAGAACCATAGTCAGTGCCAGAAATCCAATTGCTGTGTGGGAATTTGTAGTGAACTGGACAGTGTCTTGGCATGGGTCTAGCTTTAACTGATCCTAGCAGTTGTGGTGCTGACTGCTGACGTTTGAGGTTGTCTTCAAATCAGCTGTGATTAGTTCCAGATACAGGTTTGTATTTTGGCAAGTACAGAAAAGTAAAACATAAGAGAGGGAACTACAACATTTCATTCTGCATTGTATAATATACAACTACAAAGACTATCCTGGAAGTTATATGTTAAATACGACACAAGGAATTGCTACTTATACGTGATTTCATTTGAGAAAGTCAAGAGGCTCTTCTAAAAAAAAAAAAAACACTTTTTGAAATATTTTTGATTTAACAATCTATTTTTGATGATCTGTCATATAAACATATTAAACAAGTGAATTCAGGAGGGTTGTTTATGAGCTAAGATGTGAACTTGTTACCAGGGGAACCGTCTCCTCTCAATGTAAAAATAATAATCAAATTTGCTGCAGGATGTCTGCAAACCTTTCATGAGCTGACATTAAACAATGTGGTCACCCATGAAAACTGATAGCATCTTTTAAACATTATACATCTGCCACAACCCAATGAGTTTTACGTAATGTATCTCATACTTTAGCTAACAATTTCCCAGCCACCAATAAAACCATTTGAGCAAAAATGTGCCATTTATTGATAATTAATATGCTTTTACCATTGTAGCTTTATTTATTATGCATTTGCATTTTAGGTCATTGATATGTTTAAAAATGTCAAATGAGACCCTAAGTGAAGTAATAATCTCTCCCGCCCATTTTTTTAACAATGTGGTTGATCTCTTTTTCTTTTTTTTTTTTTTTAATCTTTTAACCACATTAACGGTTCCATTAAAAAAGAAAACAAAACACTAAGGGCTCATTGTTGCTGGTCATGTTTAATAATCAAAATCTGAAAAATGGGACATGTTTTTAATTTTCCTTCTAATTTATTAGATTTTTTTAAAAGGGACTGTAAAAACCACAATATTAAATTATCTTACAGCATGGATTAGGTTAATACATCTCCAAATAACAACACAAACCCAACATAACTCAACAAAATTAAATAAAAAAAAAAATCAGAAACAAAGTCTGTGAAATTTTCCAACCCAAATCTAAATTTTCAATCAAAATCTATTCATAGGTCTTAAAACTGTTTGAACTACAGTGAGCACCATTATACAAAAACCATCAAAAACAAAAACTGAATAGTGATGAACCTTTCAATTAAAAAAGTGATCATAACAAATTATTTTAAGAGTGCATTGATAATCCACCCAAGGTCTCATTATTGTTTTTAAATAAGCTTGTAAAGAAAATGGGTATAAACTGGATCATTTGTTTCATTCTAACCAGGGTTGCATTAGGGCTTGTAGAACAGCAAAAATGCAATATTTAGCCCAAACAATGTTACACACCCTATTCAGAGACCTTAACGACCAGCACCACCCTATATAATCATTCCATGACCCCTTAAACAGAGACTTAACACGTGTACCTTATAAAGTAGACTGCTATATATATTTGTCATGAGGTTGGGAGGAATGGATACTATAGGGGATTTTGGGAGTCTATGCTTGTTTATTAGCTGTGCCTTAACCATTACCATGGTTGCCTGAAGCAGAGTGGACAATATAATGGCCATCTACCACAATGCTTCTACCTAAAGGAAGTTAGAAAAGAAAAAGAAACAACTTTAAGATATAAAAACTCAAATTAATAATTCTGCATTCATTAGCACCCAACAACTCAGAAATTATCTTTGTTTGCATGATTCTTTCTTGCAAGACATGTTAATGCTTTTTTGAGTTTGCCTGAAGTGGCTTCATGGTGCATGAAAGCTTGCTCAGCACTGCAGTTACATAACTCCGGCATTAGATTAGGTTTAGAAGTGGCCCGTGGCAATTACCACTTCCTGAGTGATAGCAGAAAGTTTACATGCTTATATAGGCATGTAGAGGCACAGATATAAGGCATTTTTGCAGGTTTTTTTCAGCATTGCAAGATCTGACACTGAGATAAATTAACTGAGATGTTCATTGTTTGGAGGAAAGGCTTTTGTCTAAATTGTTTTCTGCCAGTCAATAAAATGTCCTTGTTTCTGAATGAGGGATATTTTCTTATGAAATATTTTGTCAATTTTGCATTAGTCGGTTTTGTGAGGTCATTTTTGCTGTCTTTCCTGATTAGAAATGTGTTCACAAAAATGTGCATGGTCCAGACCATGCTATCATACACGTTGTTAAATTACTTGTGATACATTAATCAAGTGTCTTTATGTGTATAGAAAATCACTGAAGGTAAAGAAACCGGATTTACTTTATTTCATTCTATAGTTAGAGGGAACCAATGTCATAATTTTTTGCTTTCTGATGAGGTTTTACACATTTAGTTATGGAGATACTGCCCTAATTGATAAGATTATGGTTATTCTGGTTTATTTGATGAAATTCTATATACTTTTTGGAAACCAAAAACCTTTTTTTTTATATATATACATTTTTATCTTTTTCCATTTTAAAGGTGATACCATTTATAAAGCCTGCTGACAAATGCTGCCCTATTACAACCTGTCCTTATGTTTGGCTTCACTGATGCTGCTTTCTCTCTTTTGCCCAGACATGGTTATAAGCACTGAGCTGTTACATGGAGACACTAAATATTTAACTGACAGCACTTTTTTTTGTCTTTTACACCAAGGTATTACAACTCCAGTGGATAAAGGATCATTTAGGATTTTAGCCTTTTGATCAGTCACAATTGTTGCAACTTTGACATAGTGCCATTGACAGTACTTACTTCCTTTTAGCTACCATGGTAACCTCACTGGGCAATGAGAAAACAGTGGCATCTTGTGTGTGAGGAACAGTACACTGTGTGATAGAGATTTGAGAACTTTGTGATTTAATAGGAACAACCTCTGACACCCTGGAATACTTACGACTACAGACGCAGAACTTAGAAATAAACTGTGCTCCTCATAAATAACTGCACATTAAGCCACTAAATTATTTTGATAATGCAACTATTTGAAGCCAAATATAACTAAATATAACATAGTGTCCTATAAATTATCAGCATTCAGAAAACCCAATACTGATATATTGATTTCATACCTGCAATTTGAACATCAACAATGTTGTACAATGTTTTCATTGAATGAAGAATTTAACCAAGCTGCAGTTTTTTTGCCATGATCAATGTATTATATAAAGGTGGGACGATAACAAACATGTTACTTAAGTGAGACTGGCACTACTTCAAAATGTTTTATCTCAGTAAAAGTAGAGAGCAGTCATGTATTTGGTAAAAAGGCTACTCAAGTATTAAGTATCTGTTTGGTTAAGATTCACTTTAATGTTAAAAAGTGATGTAATCAGAATTTTATATGCAAAGTCTGGTGTGTTTATATTTAAAATAAAACAAAGAAATATATATAAAAAAAATGCTTGATTACAAAAAAGTACATTTAGGCAAAATAAACTTTTTTAACTTATTGTGATGGTATCTGTTGTTTATGGTATGTTGACCTGATCTCCAACTGCTAAAGTTACTAGCAAATACTCGAGTTGAGTAGACAGAAATCTTACATAAGAAAGAGTAGTGATACTATATCACTTTACCAGGAGTAAGGTAAGTAAAGTAAGGTATAGCAAAACTAAATTTTAAAGTGAAATTGTTTTAAAGAAGTTACATGAATAAATGTAAATGAGTAAATATAACTAGTTAATACCCATCTCTGGTCATATGGCTTGTGCATGACCACAGCTTGACACTACTATGGCATTCTTTTCTAAGGCCCCTGATGCTTTCTTAAATCATTCTAAATCTCCCCTTCCTCTCTCCTGTTTTCTGTGCAAGGTTACTGTATGTGTTATACCTCTGCCTTTTCATTTCTAGGCAAAGCTGCCTGTGTTGATTGGCAGCCTTGTATTCAAAAATATGACTTTAGAGACACCAGGGATGATAGCAAATGTTGAAGGGGGCAAAATTTGACTATGATTTTAAAAGCGTAGATTAAGTCCTGGTATAATTATTTTTTATACTGGCGGTAACTATATCCGATTACACCAACCAGAGGTCAGAAATTTGTGTTGCTTTGGTGTGCAAGTTTGCAAAGACAATTTCTGATTGTTTTCGCTGCCCCCCTCCCTGATCTGACCATTGAGACAAATCTAGCGAC